CTAAAACATATAATATTGAATGTCAACTGTAACTGAAAAATTAATGTTAAACTTTCAATTCTATCAATTCACAGATAACATGATCTTACATAGAGAAAAATTAGTTCACACTCAAAATTGTTTGAGACAGCGAAACTATTAGAGCTAATAATAAAGTTCAGCAAAGTTGCTAGATATAAGATCAACACAAAAATTGTATTTCTAGCCCTAACCGGTTTGGCTCAGCAGATAGAGCGTCGGCCTGGGGACTGAAGGGTCCCAGGTTCGATTCCAGTCAGGGGCATGTACCCGGTTGCGGGCCACATCCCCAGTGGGGGGCATGCGGGGGGCAGCTAAATCGATGTTTCTCTCTCATCGATGTTTCTGACTATGTCTCTCCCACTCCCTTCCTCTCTGTAAAAAATCAATAAAATATATTTTTTTAAAAATTGTATTTCTATACACTGGCAAAAGAACAAAAAGAATAAAACAGGAATAAATTTCACCAAGGAATTGCAAGATAACACTGAAAACTACAAAACATTGCTGAAAAAAATAAAGACGACTTATAAAATGGAAAAATATTCCTGTTCATGAGTTGAAGGCTTAATATTGTTAAGACAGCAGTACTCCCTAAAGTGATCTACAGATACTTTGAAAATCCCAATGGTCTTTTATGCAGAAACAGGAAAGCTGATTCTAAAATTCATGTGGAATTACAAGGGAGCCCAAATAACCAAAAACAATTTTTAAAAAGAATTTAAATTTAACTAAAATAGTATGGAATCAGCGTAAGGATAGACATCACAACCAATGGAACAGATTAGAGAGACCAGAAATAAAGCCATATATCTATGGTCAATTGATTTTCAACAAGAGTGCCAAGACTATTCAAAGGGGTAAAGAATTTCTTCAACAGCCCTAACCGGTTTGGCTCAGTGGATAGAGCTTCGGCCTGCGGACTGAAAGGTCCCAGGTTCGATTCCGGCTAAGGGCATGTACCTTGGTTGCAGGCACATCCCCAGTAGGGGGTGTGCAGGAGGCAGCTGATCGATGTTTCTCTCTCATCGATGTTTCTAACTCTCTATCCCTCTCCCTTCCTCTCTGTGAAAAATTAATAAAATATATTAAAAAAAAAAGAATTTCTTCAACAAATGATGCTGGGGCAATGGATAGCCACATGCAAGAGAATGAAGTTTGACCCCTATCTCACACCATGTACAAAAATTAACTCAAAATGCATCAAAGACCTAAATGTAAGAGCTAAAAACTCTTAGAAGAAAACATAAATCTTCATGAGCTTGGTTTTGGCAATGAACTGTTAGATATGACAAAACTACAAGTAAAAGAAAAAATTAATTTGACTTCATAAAAATTTAAAATGTTGCTGCTGCAAAAGGCACTCTCAAGAAGTAAAAGCTTACAGAATGTGATAAAATATTTGCAAATCATATATCTGATGTGTGTAGTATGCAGAATATATAAATAAGTCTTATAATTCAACAACAAAAAGACAACCCAATTTTAAAATGGTGAAGTTGAATAGATATTTCTCCAAAGAAGATATACAAACTGTCAACAAGCACAAGAAAAGATGCTCAACAGTATTAGTCATTAGGGAAATACAATTAAAAACACAATGTGATAACTACTTCTTACCCATGATGGATATAATTAAATTTAAATAAATTGAGAAATGTTAATGAGGATGTGGAGAAACTGGAATCCTCCTACACTACTAGTGGGAATGTAAAATGGTGGAGGCAATAATGTACAAAAGTTCAAGTTGGTATACATCCTTTTAAGCTGTTCCCACTGTCAGGCTTTTTGTTGTTTATTTGTTATTTTAGCCATACAAATAACTATCTAGTGATATGTTATTGTGGTTTAATATGTGCTTTCCTAAGGACTAATAACCTTGAGCATCTTTTGCTTTGCTTATTATTTGCCATATATCTTCTTCTTTGAAGAATCTGTTTACATTTTTTGTCCACTTCCTAATTGGATTGAGTTTTGAGAGTTCGTTACGTATTCTGGATAAAACTTTTCATCAGATGGTTTGTGAATATTTTCTTCTAAACTGTGGATTATCCTTCCATTTTCTTTGTTTTGTTAATATTCACCGGAGGGTATTTTCCCATTGATTTTGAGAGAGAGTGGAAGGAAGGGGAGAGGGGGGAGAGAAAGAGGAGAAAAACATCAATGTGAGAGAGACATGTTGGATTGGCTGCCTCCCACACGCACCCGGGCTAGGGATCGAGCCTGCAACCAAGGCAGGTACCCAGGACTGGAATTGTACCCTTGACTGGAATTGAACCTGGGACACTTCAGTCCTCAGGCTGATGCTCTATTCACAGAGCCAAACCGACGAGGGCTAGTCTTTCATTTTCTTAAAGTACCTTACCCAACTGGCGAGGCTCAGTGGTTGACCATCCACCTATGAACCAGCAGGTCAGGGCTGGATTCCTTCCGGTCAGGGCACATGCCCAGGTTGCCAGCTCTGTCCCCATTGAGGAGGGGGAGGGTGTGTGTGTGTGCAGGAGGCAGCCAATCAACGATTCTCTCATCAATGTTTCTCTCTCTCCCCCTCTCCCTTCCTTTCTGAAATCAATTCAAATACATTTTTAGAAAAGTGTCTTGAAGAGAAGTTTTAACTTTATATGAAGTCCAGTTTACTTAAAAAATTTTTTGGTGTATCTAAGAAATCCTGCTTAATCCAGTCATAAAGCGTTCCCCTAAGTTATCTTCTAGAAAAGTTAGTTTTAGGTGTTTTTTTTTTTAACTTAAAAATACTTTATTGAGCACTTGATATAAACAGTAGTTTCTTGTAAGGTGACAGTTTTAGGTTTTATATTTAGGTAATAGTGAAGGTTCATTTACTTGGATTTCCAATTGTTAATTGTTTCAAACCATTCATTGAAAGACTATTCTTTCTCCACTGAAGTGCTCCGTCACCTTTGTCGTACTGACCACACGTGTGTGGGTGTATTTGGGGGCCCTCTTTACCGTCTGCGCATTTATGTGTCTGTTACTTCGCCAACACCGATACGGGGGCGGAGGGCATCGCAGCGTTTGGCAGTCCCTCCTCCTCGCCCATCCTTCCAAGCTCAGCTCACTGCATCTCCCAGCTCTTCTTTTCACCTGTGCTCCTCCAGGGCAGCCGAGGGAAGGCTCTCAGCTGAGGCCCCAGCTGATCTGGCCGGGAGTTGGGGCGCGGTCCTCACCCTGGAGCCTTCCAGTCCCTCAACAAGGCGCACAAACGCTCCCCGACGGAGGGCACGGTTACCAGGACAACCGCCGGCGCGCGAGGACCCAGACCGATTTCCGGCCTGTTGTGAGAACAAGCCCGGTGCGCGTGCGCAGTTCCAGGCCTGACACGCTCTCGCGATACCGCGGTCAGCCCGGGCTTTCCGTCTGAAGTTCGGGGTTATGGCCTTTAAAGCTGCGGTCTGTGTTCGGGGGCTTCGGACGCGGCCACAGCTAGCAGTTTACACATGCCAGAGAGAAGTGTGCTGGGCAAGGGATACCCAGCTTCGTGACAGTATCGTGCGTTCTTTCAAGAGGAGTTGAGGAGGAAATGGGAAGCAATATGTAGAACGTCTAGCATAGTTTCAGATACATAATAGGTGCTTAGGACGTGTCAGCCAGTGTCAAATGTCTCTGCAAGATGTTGAAGGGGGTAAAGGGGGCTCGGGTGCCCTGCGGTTTGAAGTTCCGGGTCGGGCGTTAATCCCGCACCTCCGTCCTGGATTCCGAGGCATCCCCAAGCCCGCCTCCCCTTCTCTTGCGCGTGCGCGCGCAGTTCGGCCGCTTCGCCTTCCGTCTCGTTTGGCCCCTTCTGCGCGCCGTAGAGAGCTCCGTGCGTTGCCATAGAGACACCTGAGCACTGAGTTGGGGGCGTCTGAGACTCCGGGCTAGCGGGGACCAGAGCGCCATGTCCTTCCGCGACCTCCGCAGTAAGGCAACCCTGCCCCTTGTGACCTGCAGGCCTCCCAAGAGACTGGGGCTCCGGCCGCCGGGTTCTCTCCTCCAGGCCCCGCCGAGCCCCTCTGGCCTCTGCGGTCCTGGCCTTTGCCGACCCCCGCGTCCCGGTCAGAGCGCCCCGGCCCTGGCTCAGCACTTTCTGCGGTGATGGGAAGTTTTGTATCTGCCGCTGGCTGTGACTCGTGCGGCTGAGGAACTGAAGTTTTACTTGTATCTGATTTTAATTGATTTGTATAGCCACGTCGCTACCGTATTGGAAAACGCAGAAACCGTTTTGGGGCTGAGTTAGGTTAGAGAGCCTTGAGAAACGAACAATAAAACCGAGGGGGAGGGGGGGCGGGACGGCTGAATAATAATTGCGGCTGTCATTTTTTTTTTTTTGAATCTTCACAATCTTCCAGGTGGTAAATGTTCTCTGTGTGTGTGTGCCTCATCTTATTTACTCTTCTAAACACGCTTCTGTATTTAGAAATGAGGAAACGGGCACAGAGAGGACTCACCCAGGTGGTAAGAGTTGGCGCTGGAGTTTGAATTCAGGTTGTCTAACCTCCAAAGCCTTCATACTTTCTAAAGGGGCGGATGAGGGAAACGGAACCCAAATGCCTTTGCTAGGAGACTGGGGACGTGGAAGAATGGGTATGAGAATTAGTTACCACTACTTTGGGGGGACTCCCGTTACATTTTACATTCACTCTCTTATTTTAGTCCTCACGTGAACAGTGAGGTAGGTGGCATAATACCTGGATTTGAGGCACAGATAGGTAAAGTATCTTGCTTTAGGCCACACAACCAGAACTTGGTGGAACCAAGGATGGGGACATAGTGCTGTGTGAATCAAAATCTTTTGCCTTTTGCCCTGGCAGGGTGGCTCAGGTGGTTGAAGCATCGTCCGGTGCACCGAAGGGTTGTGGGTTCGATTCCAGGTCGGGGCACATACCTAGTTTGTGGGTTCGAGCCCGGTTGAGGTGTGTACGGGAGGCAGCCAATCCATGTTTTTCTCTCTACCTCTCCTTTCCTCTCTCTCTAAAACCAGTAAAGAATATTCTCAAGTGAAGATAAAAAAAAAAATCTCTTGCCTTTTATACAGTGTCATTTTCTGAATCAGAAGCAGTTCAGCTAACTGGCTCCACTTCCATAGATGTAGCAGGGGATTGCCAGTTTGCTGTGATCTGTAAGGCCAGTTTTCTAACTAAATTGCTGGTACCCGGAATCTCACCAATAAAGATGACTCTTTTCAGTTATGAGTTGCTCTTTTTCTACAATGTAAATATACAGGAAGAGGCATCATCACATTTTGTTAATATACCTACTAGCACCGTAGCGTGAATTATTCCCTCTGGGATTTGAAGGTTCTTGGTGACTATATGTTTGTTGTAGGGACAAGTTTCTCTTTCCTGGTAGTTTAGAGAGAGCACTCTGCTAGGGGACATTGAATGGAGTTGTATTGGGAAGAGTGTACAAGAAGGGGATTTCTGAACATTTTGACATTAAACGAATGCTATACAATTGTGCAATATATGGTAAGAATCTTACTCATTTTGAAAATGCTGCATAATGAACAGAACTTAACTACTGTTTAGTGGGAAGGAGTATTTAGGCAATGCCTGAGTGTGTGACGGGAAGACTGCTGCTTTATTTTCCATCACTCTATCAGATTTCCCAAAAAACAGTGACAGAGGCCCTCAGTGCCGCTGCTCTTTTCTCTGCTCGTGCCTTCTCTTTTGCGATCTGGTGAAATCCAGCCTAACCTCTGATGCCTGGGTAGCTTCTTTGTGACTTATTGGGACATTTTGAACATCTACCTTCAAGAAGAGCGAGGACAGACATAAATAGCCTTGAGCACACTGAATATAGATCTTGGCATATTGTTGGAACTCAAAACATGTTTGTTGTGTTCATTTCCAAGTTCTGCCTAAAGCTTAGTGACAGCCACCTCCAGTATCAAAAAGTGTTAGTATTACTGTTTTTTAATGTTTTATAATAAATCTAGTGCTCTATAGTTCAACTATTCTTTTTAAGATTTTTCTAGATACAGTGCAACTAATCTTTAAAATTTGTTAGTAAGTTCCTATGTGCTCACTAAAAAAAAAAAAAAAAAAGACAACTCAGAAACATGAACTTTACCACCATCGACCACCCCCCATAATATCACTGTTAACATTTTAAAATATTTTTATTTATGACATTTTATAAGACCAGGTATTTCTCATTTTTAGTGGTAAGAAGATATTCAAGAGAGAGATCAAAGAGAAATTAAATTCACACCCAATCTCTAAACCCCATTTTAATGTACAGCTTCCACTTCTCCCAGGGCACTTTAAATGTTTTTCAGGAAGCAGATTATTTTAAGTTTTAACTACTTTTTTATTTCCCTCTTAGTTGATAAATAGTCCCTAAAACTGTCAATAGACTGGGAATAAGGAGGGAAGGCAGAGAAAGTAAGTTAATTAGTTGTTGTTTGACAATGAATTGACTGAATTGTATTTTACTGTGGACAGATTTTACAGAGATGATGAGAGCCTTGGGATACCCTCGACATATTTCTATGGAAAATTTCCGCACACCAAATTTTGGACTTGTATCTGAAGTTCTTCTCTGGCTTGTGAAAAGGTTAGAATTGCACTTTATTGTAGTCTAAGAATGAATACTCAATTTTATTTATTAGCCACCTAGAAACAGGTTATTGTTGTGAAGCTAAAGGAAGAGTTCAATAAAATTTGAGTTTGACAGATTCAGGTGTAACCTATTAAAAATCAGTTGAGTTTTAAAGAGTGTGGGAATCGAAATATACCAGTGAGTGGAAAAGGGAGACTATTTCTCAGTAGGAAGCAGACAATAGGGCCCAAATTCTTCTCCATTCCCTCACGTTTATCAGGGAGTGACAAGGTACCTCCATATACAATCTTAATGAGTACACTGGATTAGAAATAATTTCAATTTCAATTTGTGTGTAAAACCCAGTATCTAACATTTGTGGTTGGCAAACTTTTTGTTAAGAAGATAGAAAAGAAAAGAAAAAAAGAAGATAGCAAAGACCTTAGGTGTTGCAGGCAACACAAGATCTCTCTTGCATATTCTAGCTTGTGTTTTGTTTTTTATAATCCTTGAAAAATGTAAAAACGCTTCTTACTGGCAAGCTGTACAGAAAGACACTAAGGGCTGCAGTCTGTTGACTCCTGGTGGGTCATTAATAACATGAAGAAAGTAACTCCAACAACTCTGCTGCTTCTCAGAGCTAACTAGTTAGCTCTGGGCCAAGGGCTGTCAGCCCAAGTAGTCATTCTGATTATTTTAATTAAACTTTGAGGTCTGAGAAATTTAATTTTGTAAGCTGAACCCCAAATTTGATTTTTGAAATTAGTTAAACCTATTCTTGGGGTGAGGATTTGCTCCCTTGGATGTTTGGTATTTTGTGTTGCTTTTGAAGTCTTTCTTAATCTGACTGACTTCCCAGGGGACTCAGAGAGCTTCTCGTTACAGATCCACTGACCTCTCAGTTGCCCACTTTCTCTTTCGTGGACTTTATAGTAATTAACTGATGTCTTCTCTCTGTGTCTGTCTGGTTCTCTCTCATAGGTATGAACCTCAGACTGACATACTTTCTGATGTTGAGACGGAACAAGACCGAGTTTTCTTTATTAAGGCAGTTGCCCAGTTCATGGTTAGTTCCTGCTTATTTGATGGAGTTGTAAAATTAAATATGTTAGAAAGAAGTCCTAGTTAGGACTTCTTTCAAGTTTCTAAACCTATTCTATTACCAGGTTTCTTTAGAGCCATTTTTCCAGCAAAGTATTTCGTTTTAATTCAGTATTTGTTAAGATTTTAATTTATTTTTGAATAGGTTATAATATTTCATGGTTCAGAAAAAGAATTTTTGTAGATTATGAAATGATAGAGTAAAATGGCTTATCCTCTATCCTGTCTGCCTTCTGCCCAGTTCCATTCCCAGTAACCACTATTAATATTTTCCAGAGTTTATGCATATGTAAGCAAATAGGATATAAATTCTTTTCCTTCTTTTTGCACAAATGGTGGCATACTGTTTAAAAACTTGCTTCTTCAGTTAATGGTACATTTTGGAGAACTTTCCAAATACATATAGAACTTCTTCTTCTCTCTTAACACCCAAATAGTATTGCTTGCCTGGATAAATCACAATTTATATAACTTATATGGATAGGCATTTAGGTGTATATAACCTTTGCTCTTTGAAGCAATGCTGTAACAGATGACCTATATGCATCTCATTTCCTTTGTTACTATATCCATCTCTAAGATAAATTCTCAGGATTGGAATTGCTAGGTCAAAAGATATGTGTATTTGTAATTGTGTTGTCTTTTACCAAATTGCTCTCCATCAAGATTAGATCAGTTAAAAAAAAAAAAAGAAAAGGTTGTATCAGTTTACACACCCACTTGCAATGTACGAGTCACTTGAAAGTTTGATTCTTAATATAATCAGGTCATATCCCAGTTGTTGGCAGAGACATTTTCATATTACCTACATGAGATTTGGTTTAGATTCTATTCTACATGGAAAAGGCCTTAAACTGTTTGTTTGTTTGTTTGTTTTGTCTGAAAATAGGCCACAAAAGCACATATAAAACTCAATACTAAGAAGCTTTATCAAGCAGATGGGTATGCAGTGAAAGAACTATTGAAGATCACCTCTGTCCTTTATAATGCTATGAAGACCAAAGGGATGGAGAGCTCTAAAATAGGAGAGGACGATATCAGCAAATTCAAGTTTGATCTTGGCTCAAAGGTAAGGACAATGAACGGCTTGTAGTGAGGGATGAAATGTGTATTTCTCACTCTGAAATGGAACATGTCATATACTCATAGAACTACTTCTTTCCTTATCCTTTGAATGAGGGCAGTTTGTCAATTTTGTACTCATCAGCATTTGAATAAAAGCAGAAGTCATAATAAACTAATTCAACTATTTACTGAAAGCCTGTTGCTAGTAAGGTAGAAGTAGAGCTAGCAGGAACAGACTCCTAGAGGACTAAGGAAATAGGAAGAAAGTTAGCTGTGAATGAATATTGAAAGTCGTTGCTGATGATTTGATAATCAAAAAGAGACACCGGGGCCCTAGCTGGTTTGGCTCAGTGGATAGAGCATTGGCCTGCTGACTGGAGGGTCCTGGGTTCGATTCCAGTCAAGGGCACATGCTCAGGTTCGATCCGCAGTAGGAGATCAGTGTAGGAGGCAGCCAGTCAATGATTCTCTCTCATCATTGATGTTTCTATCTTGTTATCTCCCTCTCCCTTCCTCTCTGAAATCAATAAAAATATATTTTAAAAAAAAGAGACACTGGGGATTTGTTGTTTAGGAGAGGGAGCATGAGCAGAGCAGGGAAATGTTTGTTTGGACTCTGAAAATTTAACATATTCGAGGAAGAAGAGGTGACATGCAAATCCTAAGAAAGAAGTTGCGCACAGGGCTAGATGCTAAATCATCATCACCATCATCGTCATAGTAATGGCTGCCACCCTTGTGGGAGCTGGGTACTATTGCATGTTAACTCATTTGAACCTCGCAGCAGTCATGTGAAGTGCAGTCTAAAGGCAGAGAATGAGGGGACAAAAGGGTTAACAGAAGGCATCAGGATGCTGCACTAGGAAATGTGTCCCTCATATTGCCCCTCCCTGTCACTCACTACTGTAGGGGTCCCCTAGGGTGACCTAGTCCAAATAGGAAGCAGGTCAATTGCATTTGACTTGACATTTGGGTTTTTAAGGAGACCTGAAGTTGCTCTAATTTGTACTTAGATCAGTGTTTCTTAAACTGGTATCCTCCGAGCTCTCTTCCACAGGATGTAAGGATATGTCTTGTGGAAAATGTGTTCTGTAGTCAAGTATTCTGACTGGAGGTAGGGATTGGTATTAGACTGGTTTTTTTCTGAATGCCTATTAAAAACCTGTCACTGAGGTTCCTGTTTTTTATATTTTCCTTCCAGATTGCAGATTTGAAAGCTGCCAGGCAGCTTGCTTCTGAAATCACCTACAAAGGAGCATCTCTGTATGACTTGCTGGGCAAGGAGGTAGAGTTGAGGGTAAGCAGTGCTTAGATAACTTAATTACTTTCTCAGCTAAGCAGATTTTCAAGGTTTTCTTTTCTAATTCTTTTTGCCCCTGTTCTTCTGATTTTATTAAACTGTACCTGATTAAATGATATAATGTGTGAGAAAGTAATATATAGTGTTTGTTGCTATTCCTGCTTCAGTGGGCACTGGTCTATTTTTTAATAACTCTGACTTCTGGTTCAGGAATGGCAAATACTAGTATGTGGCATGTTGCTGAGACTTTTCTCCTTTGTCCCTGTCATACGTTATTGATCATGGTGCTTTTGTTGGTGAACACAGCCTCAACATTCTTCTCAACAAAATCCTCTTCTGAGCCATGATGGTTCCCAAACCTTGCTGCCCAATGCAATCACCCAATGCAACTACGGATGCCTGGCTTTCCATTTTGATATCATTGGTATGAAATGTGACTTGGTCATTGGGGATTTTACAAGTCTTCTGTATGATTCTAACGCACAGCAAAGTTTGGGAACCAGTAATCTAGGCAGTCACTACCAATCAGTTAAAGTTAATGTTAACAGTTTTAAGTTTACTTGCAATCCTATTCTAGCTAATGTCATTCAAGGAGTATGCTCCATCATGTTTAAGGAGCTATTTAAGAGTGTGGTTCTGGAGAACTTCCATAGAGCTCCTAAAGAGCTTTTAAATCACCTGATGTCCAGGTTGTCCCAGAAATCAATGAGTCAGAATGTCTGGGGGTGAGAACCAGGCATCAGGTTTGTAAAGATTTCCAGGTGATTCCAGAGTGCAGCAAAATTTGGGGCCCACTGGTTTAAGAAGAAATGATATATTATTTAGTTTTACCTGTAAGGATTTATGGCACTTAAGGACACATGCTCTCATCTAATGTTTTTAAATTAAATACATTTAATTCATTCCATTCCCATCAGGTATGTCAGCCATGACCACTCTCTCACTTCCTTGCCTGTGTTCTGGCATTGCTGCTACAGTGTTATGGTATTTTTTCCTCTTGCTTTTCATTTCTGTCCAGGAGAGAAGACTAGAGTGGGAGACTTGGGTGCCAGGTCACCATTCCTGCTTTTGATATAGTGGCTGCCACCTGCTGAGGTGCAGTTGGCAGAACAAAACTGCCACTAATGTCTAATAGCTAATTTAGGTAACTAATGAGGCAACTTCAGGCTTTCACTGTTTATTGTTTATAGAGTACATGTCTATACATGTTCATAACAGACCTAGAGACAAGAGCTGGTCACTTGCTATTTGTCAGTGGAATAGAGTGATGGGTTCATTGTGAGATTTTAGCACCTTTCCATAATGAATTGATGAAACAGTCAGTGGCTGAACTGTTGCCATGGAAGCCATGAGACCCTTCTCAAATTCTGTGTACAGTCATGATCTGAGGGAGATCCCCTAGCCAGTATTTGTTTTTCATACACTCAACCAGCATTCACTGAGGAACAAAACCAACCACAGACAAGGCACTGAGCCTTGAGTAAATCTTAATCCCTTCTCTTGATAAGTTTTCTACCAGTGGGGAGATGAGGTGCACTGTGGAGTAAAAGAAGCACAAGACAGAGTGTGATGAAGTGATTCAGGAATCTCATAACTGCATGCCCATTACAATTCCATATCTCAGATGTTCCCAGTGTTGATTGGTCCATGATTAATGCTAGGGGCAGGGCAAAGGCCACTTTTCTCACTGGTTGCAGTTGTCAATGATAGTCAACTTAGAGGAACTTAATCATAAGAAAGATTGTAGACTTAAGACCAAGATGGCGGCATAGGTAAACACCTGAACTTGCCGCCTCACACACCACATCAAAACTCCAACTAAAAGACAAAACGGATATCATCTAGAACCACGGGAAGGCTGGCTGATTGGAAGTTCGACAACTAGAGGGAAAGAGAAAAGCGCATCTAGACTGGTAGGTGCAGAGGTGCGGAAGAGCGGAGGTACGGAGGCGCACGAAACGGGCTGGCAACTGGGTACGCTGTGGTCTTTTTCAATCAGGAGGGTGATAAAAACTCCCGACTGCTCTGAACTCCAGTTCTGGGAGAGACTCTGGGGACCCAGACTCATACGGGGAGAAACTGGACTGTCTGGCATCGGACTGGAACACGAGGCGGATTTCTCTCAGAGCTGCTCACAGTGTTCATTGTTCCTGCACGGGACCGTGGGACACAGAGACCCAGGGACCTATCCGGGGCAGGGCCGATGGGCAACGATTGCTGTTTGCACCGCCCTGTGATTCCCTGAGACCATGCCCCACTCAATTTACAACCCCACCCAAGCTGTGAGCAGAGGCTTTTGCATATTAATGGCCTGGCCTTTTGCAACCTAACCTAACAAACTGCAGCTGGGTCAAAGAACCCCAGAGCTTCCAAAAGAAGGCCTAAGGCTCATCAGCAGCCTGCATTGCTTCACAGCTGCGCCTCATCTGGGCACCTCCAAACCCCAAACAAAGAGGAGGAATCTGCAGATCTCTCTGTAGCTCCTGCTGGGTGGCCTCAGGCAGTGGCTGACTTTGCACCTCCTTGGAGATCCAAGAGCCAGTCTACCCAGTGGTCAAAGTGAGACCACACCAGATTACAACTCTTCAGATCCGTAAGAGATACACTCAGGGGGCAGACTCAGCACCAAAGCCCCACTGAAGCAAGTCTTGCCCCATAAAGGTGTCTCCAGCACAGCAGTTCTCCCATTGTAGACACAACTGGTTCTCACAGCCAATTGGTCTGGAGGTCAATTCCTCCCAGCGATATCAACAGCGATCAAGGCTTAACTACAACCAGACTGTGCACACAGCCCAAAAAGGGGTGCACCAAGAGTGTCCACCTCAGGTGACTGGGGAGGCTGAGCCACTGGGCCCTATAGGACACCTAGCACACAAACCCACTCTATCAACACAGGGAAGCAGCCAAAATGCGGAGACAAAGAAACAGGTCACAAATGACAGAAATGGAGGAAAGCAAACTACTGGATATAGAGTTCAAAACCATGATTATAAGGTTACTCAAGAATCTTCTAGAAACCTCCGAGAAATTTAGACCCACAAGGATATGAAAAAGGACCAGTTAGAAATTAAGCAAACACTGACTGAAATAAAGAATAAAAACAGAGATCCAATAGCAGACTAGAGGATCCCAAGAATCAAGTCAAAGATTTGAAATATGAAGAAGCAAAAAACACTCAGCCAGAAAAGAAAAAAGAATCCAAAAATAAGATAGTGTAAGGAGCCTCTGGGACAACTTCAAGCATACCAACATCTGAATTATGTGGGTGCCAGAAGAAGAGACAGAGCAAGATATTGAAAACCTATTTGAAGAAATAATGACAGAAAACTTCCCCTACCTGGTGAAAGAAATAGACTTACAAGTCCAAGAAGCACAGAGGACCCCAAACGAGGAATCCAAAGAGTACCACACCAAGACATCATAATTAAAATGTCAAGGGCAAAAGACAAAGAGAATATTAAAAGCCGCCAGAGAAAAACAGTTAGTTACCTACAAGGGAGTACCCATA